TTTCCTTGAGAACGGCACGTCTTTATGTCCATCAAATCAAATATTATTTTTGTTAAGACTGTCACAAATCATGTCATAAGCTCTTGCCAGTTAAAGAGAAGAATCTTAGAGAAGACTTCCCCAACCTGATCTTAACTATCTTTGATTTTAAAAATCTGTTTACCTGAGACATCTGGTAAGTTAGCGATATGTAAGGCTGGCTGTCGAACATCTTTCAAAAAAATATCTTGCACCCCTTATATCAATTCAAGTCATAAATAGATGTTTATGATATTACTTACTATCAGAACCAGAATAGTCTTAAAAACATCCATTGCGACGAGACGCAATCAAGACACTTAAATGATTAATTTTTACAACGTGTTTAATAAACATTTCTTAGCTTTTTATTCGTTGCTGGAAAAATTTAAAAAGAGTTATTGGAATAATAATAAAAAAAATAATAATAATAATATTTTTTTTTTAAAAATTAAAAAAAAACCCCACTAGCACTAATTTTTTTCATTATTAGATTTTGTGCTAAAATTAACATCATTAAGAAAGTTACATCAATTTTCATTGCTTGCTATTGACCGCTGATGCCGAGCGCTATATGTATTAATTTTAACGTAAAATCCGGATGAGACATCTATTTAGTATAATTAGATCGATTACTGCAGGAACCAATTACTTAGTTTAAGACGATCATTAATTTATTATCGCTAATTAAAAGTAATAATTACAACAACAAAAAAAAAATAAATAAAAAAAAATAAAAAAAAAAAATTAAAGGAACGATTAAAAGAGAACGAAAGAACATCGAGAAGGGAAAGAGTGAAGATCACGGTGAGCGCCGAATCATTAAAAAAAAAACTAACCAATTACTTAGTTTAAGACGATCATTAATTTATTATCGCTAATTAAAAATAATAATTAAAAAAAAAAAAAAAAAATAAATAAAAAAAAATAAAAAAAAAAAATTAAAGGAATGTTTTAGAGTTTACATATTTCGACCATGTTTAGGTATGTATCGAAATAAAGTCATTATGTTAAGATTTGGAAAAAAAACAACAACTTAATATACAGTTTTTTTGTGTGTATAAATCTTTGATATAGTGTAATATCAAGCAGTGGGGGTGGGGGCTTAAAATTTGACATGACCTGCATAAAAGTAACACTTTATAAGAACCCTATTTGGTACTCACCCCACCCCCTCAGGCTCTCATCTCAACCGCATTTTTTTTACATCCCTCAACTTTATTAATACTCTAATGAGCCAAAAAATTTTACACCACATATTTATCACACAATTATTTCAGAAAAACAAAAGAAAATATTACTCATGAAATGCACTTGAGATTTTTGTTTTAAATGATATCATTTAGAGCAATTATCGTGTTATGTATTTTATATTCAACTTAAAAAACAGGAAAAAACAGATTTTTTGGAGGTCGGTGTTGCGATCTCTTGACGAAATTTTGATAGAATGTGTAGTCATCTGCATCGAGCCTACGTGCCAGCTCGATAGCTTGACGTTAAGTGAGTCAATTAGACGTGCGAAGATTTTGACACCCACCCAGCAAAGCAGGAAACCACCGACGAACCAAAGCGAAGTTAATATAAATGTTGTATTTATTATCACTAAAATTTAAGGCCTAGCGTTACAAATAATACTTGAACTTTTCTTTCTGTTTTTTGCAGTGTCAAAGAGGCCCTTATACACGATCGTCGAAAAGTCTTGAATCAAAATCAAATCAAAGAATCAATATACTCAATGTACTAACATCCCATACAACTCGTTACATAATCTATTAACAATTCCTTTACATTTTGTTTAGTCGATTTATATAGATCCTATGTTTTCAATCACTACCACATGATGTAATAAATCTTTTTAACACACAGCAAGTTAACTGAAATGGGGAAAATTTTAACATGTAAATTCTAGGTGGGAAAAATTTGTTTTTACACCCTTAAGCATTACGTTTACTGATCATAATGATAAACAAAGCAAAGATCATGAAAGTAATGTAAACACTTCAAAAGACATCTTGGCAGGAAATGAACTGGAAAAGTTCGGGACCTTCACTTAGTTGGATGGTACTTATAACATACATAGTGTTTCTGAAGCAGATGTTAGGGCTTTAATTGAAAAGTGATGCGTAAGCTGACTCTGCTCACACCAAAATGTGATTTTAAAACCAGAGAGCTCTACATTATTATCCGTAAATTAAGAGAGGAGCTAACTTCATATAGAAAGAGCTCATACGTTCACATAGAAAGAGCTTATACCTTCACATAGAAAGAGCGCATACCTTCACATAGAAAGAGCTCATACCTTTACATAGAAAGAGCCCATACCTTCACATAGAAAGAGCTCATATCTTCACATAGAAAGAGCCCATACCTTCACATACAAAGAGCCCATACCTTCACATAGAAAGAGCCCATACCTTCACATAGAAAGAGCTCATACGTTCACATAGAAAGAGCTCATACGTTCACATAGAAAGAGCTCATACCTTCACATAGAAAGAGCCCATACCTTCACATAGAAAAAGCTCATATCTTCACATAGAAAGAGCCCATACCTTCAGATAGAAAAAGCTCATATCTTCACATAGAAAGAGCCCATACCTTCACATAGAAAGAGCCCATACGTTCACATAGAAAGAGCTCATACTTTCACATAGAAAGAGCCCATACCTTCACATAGAAAGAGCCCATACCTTCAGATAGAAAAAGCTCATATCTTCACATAGAAAGAGCCCATACCTTCACATAGAAAGAGCCCATACGTTCACATAGAAAGAGCTCATACTTTCACATAGAAAGAGCCCATACCTTCACATAGAAAGAGCCCATACCTTCAGATAGAAAAAGCTCATATCTTCACATAGAAAGAGCCCATACCTTCACATAGAAAGAGCCCATACGTTCACATAGAAAGAGCTCATACTTTCACATAGAAAGAGCCCATACCTTCACATAGAAAGAGCCCATACCTTCACATAGAAAGAGCCCATACCTTCACATAGAAAGAGCCCATACCTTCACATAGAAAGAGCTCATACCTTCCCATAGTTGCTTGACGAAAGTCACTTAACTATAAATTATCAAACAAAGTAACAACAAAGACCTAATTTAGAGGACAAACCAAGATCCTTTTTCTGGAGACATCACAAGGTAAATATGAGGTGCCTAGGACAGTGAGAGAAGCATTACCAACAGGTACATTTCAGACGAGCAAATTGCTAAGATGATTATGCTTCGCTGGAAGATTGCACAAACACGATAATCTATTCGTGAAAAATTCCCAACATAAATAATCTTGCACACTAATACTCCTCACACTTAAATGTGTTGTCATTTATATGTGTAATAGTATATGCAATTGAAAGCGCATCTTGGGTGTACGAATATATTTGCGGATGAGACTTCAATTGAAAACACATTTTATATATTAAAAAAAAAAACATTTGAATTAGCTGAGGATGGAATTAGAAAAAATATGATATTTTGGTAGACTTTTTTAGAACTGGTATTATATAGATCGGCTTGTCCCATCAGTATTAAAATTTGACCAGGCAAACGAGGATTTTGAAAGTTGTAATTAAAGTTAACACGTGATCTTCCTGACTACAATCGTTCTTTAGTTGAAAAAAACAACTTAACAACTTAAAATGAGGTCAACATCTTGTCAAATTATATTATTTATTTTACTGTTATTTAGTCCAGCGATGATTTCCCCAAGCTACTAGTTTATTCGTTTGTTTGTCAATTAATTTTACGAAAAAAAAATGCCTTGAAATGACTCATTTAGGTTACAATCTCTCCACCCCCCCCACACACACACACAGACAAAAAATTTAAAAAATCCTGATGTAATTAAGTAAAAAAAATAACACTCTGATTCGTTCTTCTTCTTTTATTCGTTTGTTTGTCAATTAATTTTACGAAAAAAAAATGCCTTTAAATGACTCATTTAGGTTACAATCTCCCCCCCCCCCCCCACACACACACAGACAAAAAATTTAAAAAATCCTGATGTAATTAAGTAAAAAAAATAACACTCTGATTCGTTCTTCTTCTACCGAGTCCAACATAATGTACTTTTGATGGAAACTGAAGCTCTCTCTCCTTCAGTGGAGCAATATCTTGTTTTAAAAGGTAAACATATTATGGTTTCTTTTTTTTAAAGTTCGATAAATGAGATAATAAAAACTAAACAATTATTACATAACTTAAATATATTTTTAAAAATTATAACAAAAGTAATATCGGTTTAATGTTATTTGTCTTGCTTCATTGTGAAGTTTTAATATGTTTCAATTAATTTTTTCACATCTCATAGATACGTATGTTTGAAAATTAAAATGATGTAATATCCGACATCATGTCGTCTTCACGTGACGATGAAGCAGCTATTCACACCTCATCAAATGACTTAAGAGGTACTTTGTCCTGCCATCGAATTCGCAAAATGTAACACAGTCATTTTTGATGGAAGCTGTAGAGTTTTGCTGATAATAAAATGCGATAATAGATATGAAAAAGAAATATGTGAATGATAAATTAGGATACATTTAAGGTAAAAAAATTTCAAACAAACATTTATTTAAATTTAAATATTAAAGAAAGAAACCTTAAGTATACAAAGATGTCTTTATTAGTAAAGTGGTAATAGAGTATTAAGCAATAGAAATATTAGTTTTACAGCTCAATGAAGAGCAATAAACTTTATTATGTAAGATATATTATTTTTCTGGATTTTCAAAATCGTATAATTTAAAAAAAAAATAGTAATGCTAATTAAATCACATTTGGGGAGAAAAGAAATATAAACACAAACATTGTTCAAATGTTTTTATCATCTGTACAAAGCTCTTCTGCCTAAAAGTACTTTATTGTTACACAAACATACACAAACATACACAGACACAAACACAAACTCACACAAACACCCACATACATACACACATAAATACACTCAGATACACTCACACAGCAAAGCAAAACATGTTCGTATGTAATTCACAAGATCATTTTTCGTTAGCAAACAATGAATACATATAATTAAAAACAAAACTTGGTACGTTTGTATGTATTTTAAATAATACAAATTAATTAACAGTATTAAAATATGCCTGACAGACTATATTGTTACCATATATGTATTTACTTCTGAACTTTTTTGCAGATTTTTCTCCTTTTTTCGTTGCCATGATGGACAATTAGGAAAAATAAAATCATTTATAATTTGGAGTTATTGGTTATTTCGGTGAGGTCTAGTTGACAGACATGTTAGGAAGAGATGATGAACTGGTAGAGATGGAAGGGACAGATGATGATCTGATATCGATGATAAGAGAAGGAGTGAATTGGTAGAGGTAACTTTGATTGGATGTGAATGTGAAAAGAGATTGGGACGAGAAAACCGTGTGTATTTTGGATGGTGACTGGATAACATGTGAAGTAAGGGGCAGTTGTCTTTTAGGATACGAATGCATATAAATAAACATGATAGTTACTTTATGTTTTAAAATTTTAATAAAACATTGCTTCATCCACATACGACACTCTGCCGAGATGAGTAAATGGTGATATTCTCGGCATTGGACTACATCGTATTGGTTGCAAGAGGCCCTCTAAAAAGAAATAAAATGTATTTGTTTTTTTTCAAAAAAGGTATTTTACATTCGTCTGAAATCTTAACTTAAAAAAGTAGATTCTTAAAGTAAAATGTATACATGTTATTAAAATAAAAGCTTAAATTAAAATATTTTTTTTTTTTTTTTTGTCCAAACCATTGAAATAAACGGGTCTCCTCTTGTAGTCACAACACATACATCTGTTGAAATAAGTGATTACAATATAAAGGGAAACAAACTTTAGAAAATATTCTGATATTTTGTTGTTGCAGACTTATGAAGTTTAGCTGTAAGTAAAATATCAACATTGTTTTAAAGTTTGTTAAATATTTTGCATGTTTTCAAATATTTTAGGTATTTTTATCGTATATACATTAAATAAAAGGCCAACTTATTTTTGTTTCTTTATTCGACACGTACACCTAACAACCTTGATTGAAATTGTGCCTTTACAATACAGTTTTACGGTTCAATTTCTGTATGTTTATTCAAGACTAAACTTATGAAACGCTATATAATCTTTATAACACAAATGTATTAACGATATAATTTTAAAATGTTAAAACATTTGAAGTTACCGTATACAACGTCGCCAGCATTCAGTCGCAGCATCTGATGAATTAAACAACACGTTTTCAACATAATGCCTGCTTATTTTTATAACAAATTTACATATACGTTATTTTCACACTGTAACGAATTAGATGTTTTTTTTTATATTCCTTTATATTAACGTCGATTTTGTTCACATTTGTGTAAAATCTTCGGACGGCTAATGGACCCACTTTCCATCATCCTAACGAACTGAAACTTGGCACATAGACTTGTTGCTGATGAAAATACAGTCTTTCAAATTTTCTACCCTATACCCCTAAAAATAATTGGGTCGTTTAATTTTAATCATAAAACGAACTTATTGAATAGACCTGATTCTAACCTGAAAAAAATAGAATTTAAAAAGAGATTTAAACATATTCTTTTTCTAAACATTTATAAAGAGTCCATATCATATTCCACTCAAAACTACAGAATTGTTACAGTCTCATGACTAACAAAAAATCATGTGGCTTCCATAAAGTCAACGTTCTTTGCATTTCGCAAAGACGTTCAAGCAGCAGTTTATGTTCATTTTACACCACTTGCCAAGATCACCGTTGATGTGAGCATAAAACAGTAATGCAAGGCATTTGGGAGAGTTCATTTTTTAAATGATTAAGTAAATAATACTTATCATAACATGTATGTCACTCAACACTTCCTTTCAGCAGTGTAATCATATACATGTGTCCAAAACTATATCTAAGGTCATAAGATATTTCATGCGTGTCCAAAACTGTTTTTAGTCATATGATTGTAAGATCTCTGAAGTTTTCGAGGACATTACATTTATACGTTTAGTAATTTGTAGAAAAGGCGTGTAGGCTTAAAAGTCTTAAAAGTTTTTTATTTTTATTTTTGAATTTTAATTTTGTAAATTTGATTGCCTTGCAAGATGGTGCAGGAGATCAAGACATGCATTGAAATTTATGACCTATAACGTGTGTGGTTCCCATTAAATACAAACACTCCCCGGTTGTCGGATATCTGCAGAAGGTCACACAAGGGTGATTGGAGGTATATTGTAAACTACTTATAATGAATAATTTTATGCTCATCCTGGGTGGGGGAGTTTGCAAAGTTCCAGCTCAATCTGAGATCAGGAAGTGGGTCAAAATTGCGACGAGATGTAGAGGTGTTTTTTTCGGTCAATGGAGGTTACTGATGACCTACTGAACATTAAAGTTTTCATTTGTTGTTATCTTGTGTTGATGAGTGTAAAGCTATTAGTCTCGATTGGACTTAATTGAGTAGGTCCAAAATGACGTTTAAAATTCAACAACAAACAATAAGTAAAAACAAGCTAATAAATGGTTATTAGTTAATTGTTACTTTAAAGAAAAAAATAAGTCTGAATACAGAGAATTCCATGTTCATATACGATGAAATGGTTGATATTCCATATAATATGAGTTGTAATTAATTACCTCGGTATGTATAGAGGCAAACCGCGAATGTAAGGATAACACCAAACATAACAATAGCCAATGTTAGTAACAGAGGTTTGATGTAAATGGCAGCATCTTCGCTTTTGAAATCTGTTTAGCAAAAACATGACTTTGAATTAAAGCAACAATATGAACGCATACACGTCGTCTTATCTTGAAATCATATGGAATCAATTATTGTTTGTCAGCACAATTGTACTAAGTAAAGTTGCTTGAACGAAAATTATTTTGCACGTAAGTGTGTTTGAATTAAAATTAGTATACCAAAAAATTATTTAACAAAAATTAGGAACAAAAAAGAAATATGTAAATATCAAAATCAAAGACAACGCATTTTTTTTTTTTACAAAGTTTTCATTTGCATTATTTGTTACAATTGAATTTTACCATTAAAATATTAAAGAATAATTTCAAAAAGCAAAATACATTTAGAATAAACTTCCTTTAGAACATCTTTCAATGATAAATTTGATTTGGAAGACTTACACTTGATTGATTTTTTTTAAATATTTGCTTTCAAATAATTTGGTATTTTGTCAGAAAATCACATTATAAAATCTTTGTTTTTTGTTACTTTCATTTTTATCATTACATTGAGTTTATCACATGGATGCATTTTAAGAAAAAAAAATTCATTAAAAAAATAATTCATTATTCACACACAAAATCGCTGAGATAAGTGTAAATATTGCATTAGATAAAACATTTCAATACGACAGTTATCTTCTCACCTTCCCCTTTGACCATGCAGAAACATCCGTAAAAGGCTACAAGCAGAAAACACATTTCTATTAATTTTTAAAATAGCAACATTCCATTTATTCGATTTTAAAACAGGTTACCAATACATCTCAGACAAAATAAAAACTGCTTTGTTGACAAATGTAAGGATCAGTTCCCTGCATACTGTTGATAACCAATTTAACACATGTCATGTTAGATTAACGATCACATTTTATTTATCAGGAAGTAAGTCTGGCTGGTGGTATAGCGGACAGATGTTCATTTTTCTCTATTTAGTTTCTACCATGAGTCATTTAAAATGTGTGATGGATATACATGATTGACAGAGACAAAATGTAAATCAGTATTTAAAACTACTACTTTGTTTATTTGTTTGGTTAACTCAAAAAATGGTAACGGGAGTAAAAATAGACTATAAATATATATATTTCATTAATGTGTCGATAAAATTATTGTTCAGATGTGAATACTTTTCCCTCCGTCGAGAGATCCAAAACTGCCCATCATGTATCTGCTACGTACCATTATGGTTTTAAAGATTTAACCTTTGTTAATACTTTGCTCGAAGATGAAAGAATACGAAACGAAAGAATGATCAGACAGTATGCAAAGTAAACGATACCAAAAGAATTGATACTAAAATTAAATTTAATTGTTGAATTACATTTCTATCAATGCACATCTGAATACAGAAGCAAAAACATGTATCATCTCACAAGAAATGACAAGCTAACAATCCTTAAAATACAAATAAATATTTTCTAAACAGAATCATATAACGTCTTGAATGTCTGTCTAAGTATAAAAATATATTGCGATGTCCCTTGCACATGTTGTCTGAAAGAAGCCAAACATCTCTTACCGAATCACCCTGATTCCGTATTCCTTACCCCTTTTATCCTGTCGTTACACTGTAGGATATTTATTCAACGCAGAAGACAACATTGGGCCCAAAAAGCTACAATAATTAGGAACAATTCTGGAGTTATATCGATGCCCAGTGCAAAAAAGATGAAAAAACCTACTTTCTTTTTTTTACGACCAAACTTACAAGGTAGGTGATGACTTTTGCCCTCCACCTCAAACGTTTTATAACTCCGAAGAAGTAACTCTAAATGTGATTAATGCGGTAAGTTCAACAATCCAGATTTACAACCAAACTTCAGTTTCGCCCTTGATTCGTCATCAAAGGCACAGAATAGCTAAACGCCAACTTCTTTAATCTGAGCACTCCTTATGGAAACTGATATTTCATCTCATTTGGCGAGCTGAACTTAATCCCTGCCCGCGACAGCCACGATTACCATCTGTCCTTTGTGGGATAGTGTGCACAAGACAAAATGAAGCAATTGCCTGTGACGATTGCGACTAAAAGACCCACTGAGCTAGCCACGGTATCACAAATTTAACTTAAAATCAACTCGGTGAAAGCAAAGATCTATGGTATTGTGCTTAATGCAGCAATCATATCAGATGAAAAATGTTTTACGCAATTCCTCTTGTTTGAATGGATGCATGGGTCTCCAAGAACTTCAATCAAATTTTCTTCTATTGTCAATGCGTCCAGTAAATAATTACGTTAGATTTTCATCATATAAAAGTAAAGTATTTTGATGTATCTCTAAAGGATTCCTTTACTATTGAAATATATTCATGGTCGTCTTCATTCATTGCGTCTAAAACACGTATAATGTATGGATTATTGTACAGCGCAATTTCGCCTGTAACTCTTACATTGTCTGTTTCCATTCAAATAGTTTTCTGATCACTTAGTTGTTGTATGTGCTATTATCCATAAAACGTTTATTGTCTAAATATTCCTACGGTTTATTTGTATTAAACAAAACAAAGCCACGATCAGGATTATGAACGTAAACTACAACCCTTGACTCGTCTATTACGCTGTAATAATTGCCTTCGCTGTCTGTAATTGATCCACGCTGATTGTTGTTTACGCAGATAACATTGTCGTCTGTGCCATTAATCAGCTCTATTTCTCCATTCACGTTTTTCTCTTGATTTCCTCTGACGATAGCTGAATCTGGAAAAAGGATTTGAAAGTTAATCTTATCCATTCGTGCAAATAAAACAAATGGCGCCTTGATTGCTTCTTCGCTGGTATCAATGGTATTTTAAAAATAAGATAATAAAATTTGATCTTTAAATACTCGACGTGGTTTTAAATGCATATGACGAAGGAAAAGGAACAAATATTCTATGACATAAAAGAGTAAATACATATAAAAGTCAATAAAGTCTAAGATCAATTATTTAATGCTAAATATTAAGCAGTGAAATATAGTTATTTGAATACAAAAACCCGACTCCCCCCCCCCCTTTTTTACGCCCCTTTGAGAACCACCAAAAATATTTTATCACCACCCCCCCCCCCCTCTCCCCACTCCGAGCCACTCCATCATGCACGTATTGGTGCAGTCCAATTTAAGAATTACTAACCTAGACATTATGAGCAAATTCTAAAAGAAAAAAAATGTACCAAAAATGTTATCAAATAAGGCCTTAAATTTAAAAAGAAAAATCTAATTGTGTCCCATACCATTGACGTAATAGGGACTTTTATTGTAGTCACAACGCTTAGATCTGTTGAAATAAACGTGTTAACGTTATAATAAGCAACACATTTTTAAATTATTATTGTTACTTTGGTTTTGTAATTGAACCTGAAGGAAGTTTGGCTGCTAGTGAAATATGAAGATTGTTTTAAGGTTTATCTAATATGGTGTTTGTCAGTGTTCAAATATTGTTGGTATTTCATATCGCATATACATTAAATGAAAGGCAAGCATACATTTTCTTATATTAGACATTAAAGGAAACGTTTAGCAAAGCATGTTTGATTTTTAAAAAAAAAATTATTTTTTTTGCATTTAGTATATCAATCATGATTAAATTTGTACATTTTAATTTTTTTTGAGACGAACAGATCAAGTATAACATTTTTGTAAATTACAAAAAATGCTTTAATGATATCATTTTAAAATGTAAGAACATTTTATTTTACCGCATACAGCGTCTTAAGAATTCATTCACAGCACCTGAGGAATTAAAATAGCAGATTTAAATTTAATCTTAATGCATATATCATTTTATAATTTTTTTATATACAATTATTATTTTAAAGCGTTATGAAAAAGATGATTTTTTTACAAATAATAAAATAAGCTTACCGAATAAAATGATAATAGAAAGAAAAACGCCGGGTATATTAGCTAGCCTTAAAAAAATGTAATATCGAGCAATCGGGGATTGGGCTAAAATATGACTAAACCGGCATATAGGTAAAGCATTTTAAACGAATCACAAGGCTCGAAAACTCACCTTTTTAACGGCCTTGAACTATATCAATAATTTAATGACCCACCCGCAATTACACAGCATGTTATTTACCAACTAAGTCAGACAGAAAAAAAATATTCACGCCAAACGAAGTTGTAATATTTTATTTGAATAAATGAATCTCATTTTAGTGCGTTTATCGGGAATTTTATTTTGTGAATTGAGTGGGATCTTATTTCCTTTATCTTCCTTTGAAACACAGAAAACGATGTTTTTTTCGTTGGATGACTGTGGGCTTCACATTGGATAGAATATATTGTCAACAGCAATGACTCGCTGTATCCAGTCTCAGCACGATAGTTTAACGTAGAGCGGGCCAATTAACTATCCGAAGATTCAATGTTCTTTGCACTTCGCAAAGAAATGCACGCAGCGGTAATTTTATTTGACTTTGCAGGATCACGAACGAAGGGAAGTAAAAGCTGTTTTTTTCAAGGCACTTGCCAAAACTCATTTTTCCATGATTAAATAATCTATTATATAACAACAGTGTCTCCCAACGCTTAGTAGCAGCAATGTTAATTTATACATTGCGTCTAACATTATATGTGTCTAGTTATTTAACATGGTTGTATGTCATGGTCACCCAACGCTTTTTAGCCATATGGTAGTAACAACTCTCAAGTTTTGTAGAACTTTAATTTGATACTTTAAGTATGTTTTAACGATATGGGTGTTCTTAAACAAACTTTTAAAAATTGTATTATCTTATTTTTATTTTTTACTCCTTTAGTTGTAGAGAATGCAATAGGAGATCATGAATGCGTCAAAACATATGACTAAAAAGCGTTGGTGCTTATAAAATCCAAACACTTTAACGTTTAGTTGAGAACATTTGGAGTTTAAAAAAATGTGTTTGTCGTCGTTGATTGTTATCGGGAATACGTACAAATGTTTAAGGTTACGATGTTGTGAAAACCCTTGTTTCTTCTCATGTTTCTGAGATATACACAATTTGGTAAGTGGAGGTCACAAATGAATTACAAACAATGAATTGTTTTATTGTCTACGGAGTATGGATGAGTTTGCAAAGTTTTAGTTTAGTAGGAGAACAAGAAGCGTTTCAAAATAAAGATGCTATATAGAGGTACCTCGACGGTTAATTGGGGTCATTGGTAACCTACTGATCTTGAAAGTTTTTATTGTTGCCTTGGGTCGACAAGTGTAAATTTTTTAGCTCGATTGGACATCAGGAACTGGGTCGAAATTTAAATGCAAGAGAGAGAGGTCAGAAGGGTAAGTTCAGGCTACTGGTGACCTAGTACTCACGACATTTGTTATTGTCATGTTGGGTAAAGTAAGTGTAAAAAGTTTCAGCTCAATGGCACATCAATAGGCAGGTCCAAATTAAGATGCAAGGTTCCACCACAATCAAAATATACAATCCAGCCAATAAAAACATTCAAACATTTTGATATTGAAAAAAATAATGCCTGATTACAGAAAATGCATTATATACCAAAAGATTGTTGATATTTATTTATGGTACTTAATTACCTCGATATGTATAGAGGAAAACTGCAGTTGTGATGATAACGCCAAGCCAGACAACGGCCAATATTATTAACAGTGGTTGAATGTAAGTTGTAAGTGGCAGCATCTTACCGTTTGGGATCTGAAGAACAACAACAGGACTATAGCTTAAGTCAATACTATAAACATATGCACATGGTCATAATCGGAAATCATATGACATACTTTGAACACAATTCGTTTCGCATAACTTCCTTTCAAACAAAGCTACACCGGGATTTAACATCAGTTAAAACATCATTTATAATGGTAAATTTGATATGGAAGAGACACTTTTCATTTTTATTTATCTGATTTTATTAATTTATTTTATTTGTTAAGTCACAGCTTAAAATTATTG